AAAGCACCAAAGTAAATTTCTTCCAAATAACTGATATGGATGGTCTGCAAAGTTCCTTATGGTAAGATTTCAAAATGGAGTAAAAATTTAAACTTCTGAAAGAAAGCCATTTACATTAATTAAGGCACATCTGGACACCTCCGGGTATTCTTATTTATAATTATTATTAACTTCATAATAAGGGATTTCTGAAAACAGAGTCTGTCCCTGAACACAATCTGCTGGGTGGGTTGGATAACTAGCACAGAGGAGGCACAGCAGTACTCACTGTCACCCTAGAATACCCACACAAGTCTGCTCATGTAATAATCAGTACAGGATCCACAGCTGAAAGAAGTCAGTATGTACACGCTCCTAATTTTCCAGATTCTACATTGACCCAGACCATCTTTCTCTACAACTATACATACATTTGAACTGATAATAGCAAGTTTATCTCCATCCTACCTTATACTTAACACATAGACCCCAAAAGGAAAATGGAAATTTCCTAAGTGAGAAAAATAGAAATCTTTGAAACTGTTTTTGTAACAAAGGATCTCCATTTACCACAAATAGACATGAAAGACCCATAGATGTAAGTATAACCAAACAAAATCAAGAATACCCTTCTCTTCTCAGGTTAGAAAATAAAGCTTTTAGAAGAGCAGCAATTGTAATAGGGCAAAAAAAAAAAAAAAAAAAAATACATATATTTAAAGCAAACTTTTAACTGTGTCCTACAAAGAAATTCTAGAGCTGGAAAGTGTAATTGAAATAAATTCACTACATAGATGCAAAGACAGGTGGAATAGGCAAACAAATCAAATGAACTTGAAGATAGGATAATGAAAATTAACTGAGGCTGAAGACGAGGGAAAAATTTCAAGAACAGTGAACAGAGTCTAAGGGAACTGTGACCATCAGAATGACCAATATATACATTGTGGGAGTCCCAAAAGGAGAGAAAAAAGAGGAAGAAAAATATTTGAAGGAATATTGGTTGAAAATTTCTTAAACTTGGTGAATCACATGAATAGAAATGTTCAAGAAACTCTATGAACTCTTAAGATGGACCCAAAGAGATCCACATTGAGACACATAAACTTTCAAAAGGCAAATCTTAAAAGGAAGCAAAAGAGAAGCAAATCATCACATAGAAGGGACCCTCAATAAGATGATGAGTATATGTCTCATCAGAAACTCTGGATGGGGCCTCCTTGCTGGCACAGGGCTTAAAGTGTCAGTGCTATCACGCTGTCACCAGCCACTGCAGAGAGTTGGATCCCCGGCCAGGAAGCTGACCCACATGGCCCAGCAGACCTCTCCTGTCTGACCACTGCTTTCCTCAGCAGTGTATTTCAGTATATCTGCCTGTTCTGCTCCCCATACTGTCTCTGGTGAATCCTTTTATCCCCTGCACCTCTGGCCTATACCCCAGTTCTAGTATGCATAAGTAAGTAAAAATAAAACAGCTCTCCCTGGTGACACAATGGGTTAAATCACAGCACTGCAAGCTGGCGGCATCTGCCTCAGTGCAAGTTGAGTCCATGACCTGAGCTGACCCACATGGTGTGGGAGACCTCTCCTGACTCACCCACTGCTACTCTCAGCCATGTATTTCAATACATCTGCCTATTTTGCTCCCCACTCTGTCTCTGGTGAATCCTCTCACTGCCCCTGCACCTCTGGCCCATACCCCAGTTCTGTATGCATAAATAAATGAAAATGAAAAAGAAAACAGAGAAGAACTTTGAATGCCCAAAGATTGTAGGTCAATATATTCAAAGTACTCATAGGAAAAAAAGTCAGGCCCTCCCTGGGGGCACAGTGGGTTAAAGCACAGCACTAAGAAGCTAAAGCCACTTCAGTGTGAGTTCGATCCCCGCCGACCCCAGAGGTGATCCGCATGGCGTGGCAGACCTCTCCTGACCTGCCCGCTGCTCCCCTCAGCAGTGTACTTCGTTGATCTACCTATTCTGCTCCCCACTCTGTCTCTGGTGAAGGCTCTCGCCGCCCCTGCATCTCTGGCCTGTACTCAGGGGAAGGCTTAGATGATAAATTTCATCTCTTCCTCTGATAGCAGCTACCCATCCCTCACCCCCAGCCACACTGCTGGCAGCTTGCATACACCTTGTGAGAGC